CCTGTGAACCCTTCAGTGGGTCTCTAATGTTTACAGCTTAGGGTGCCATGCTGGGTCCTTGTCAAACAGGCTAAGCTGTCAAGGTTCATCTATTTAAGAACCTGTAAGTCTGGTAGACGTTTTCCTGACTGGGTCCAGCATTTCCTCACTTCAAGGGCCGTTTTGCATGACATTTCTAAATCTCAAATAACAATGATTAGCATACTGGGTGGTACAAAGTGGTTTATGATGGACAGGTTGCTAACCTAAAGGATAGAGATTCCAATCTACCCACAGCAGCTCCACGAAAGAAAGGACTGGCTATTTGCTTCCAGATAGATCACAACACTGAAAACCTGATGGAACAGTTCTACTAAGGCACACACGGGGCTGCCTTGAGTTGAAGCTTCTCTATCTGCCGAGCAATAATGCTGAATAGTCTTCGGGCGTGAGTTCATTTTATTCTCTTAAACACCACAAGGTGGGCACTGTTAGCAATTAATTTACAGAGGATGAAATGAAATCCAGGCCCCGAGAGGGTGATTTGTCTGTTGTCACAAAGCTTGTCAGAGATGGTGCCAGAAATCACACCCAGGTGCTCTGGTGACTGAAGTTCGTGGGTTTCTAACTAGGCGGTGTGGGTATCCAGTATCCAGTGATCGACCCAAGGGCTCTACAGGCAGACCCACCTTCCTTTTCGCTAAGCTGAGGAAAACAACAGGAACCCAGCCCCCGGGGAATAAGCGAGAAAAGGCTGCAAAACAACTTTGGGGCGTCCTTAGTATTAAGTGTGGTCATCTCAGAGCCAACTCACAGCGACCCAGTTTATAACAGATGGTAACACAGCAGGTCCTGCGGCCCCCTCACAACTGCTGCGGTTGGGGGGTCATTGTAGCAGCCACCGTGTCCATCCAGCCCCTAGACGGTCTTCCTCGTGTCCTCAAACCCTCAACTGGACCAAGCACGACGTCCTGCTCCAGGGACCGATCTCGCCTGACAAAAATGTGCACAGCCGTGGGGGCAAATCTCGCCATCCTTGCTGCGAAAGGGCAGTCTAACTCTACTTCTGCCGAGACAGATTCGACCGTTCTTGACAGTCCGTGTCGACTCCAACCTTCGTCGCCAGCGTCGTAACTCAAGTGCGTTTGGTGTGGTTGAGGTACGTGCGTGGGAAAACGTCCACCGGCCCCCGAGAGGACCTCTCGGGGGCCGCGGCCTGGCGCCGGCCTCCTGGGGTCAGCACAAACCTCAGCCCCTCCCAGGGCCGCGCCCCTCTGAGCCGCCCTCCCGCACACTGCGCGGGGTGAGTGCCGTCCCCTCTCGAGAAGGGACGCTGCAAGCAGGCAGGGACTTGGTCACTCGTGCCCCCCACCCCACCCCGGCGCGGCACAAGTCGGGGCCCGATACC